AAATACACTATAACATATACACACTGAAAAAAACTTGTCAACGAAAATGCCGCTTTTTGATTAGTCTGACTGTTACGTGTTGGGTAGCCATATAGGCAGAATCTTTTAAGATGCTTCGTATTGACTCCAGTTGTGAAGTTGCATGCGTGGCATCTTAGGATTCGGACACCTATGAATTAGATTGTGATGTTTAGCACAATTTCAAATGTTGACTTTTCTTGAATGCATTGCCTCGGGCATCAGAATCAATAACCGGTACATGTATTTACGCAGTAACAGAAAATAGTTTGGTTATAATCGGTTCCATAAATATAGATTTAAAGAGAATTACCTCACACTGTTGGGACCATGAACAGGTAATAATTATTTTCCAAACAATTGAATCTTAGAGGAAAAGAACATTTTCGTGACAACACTAGGGAATTAGATTAGGAATTGCAGAACAAATAATTCTCATAGATGTCCATTCTACTTATTGAACGAAGTAGATGTTGCGTAGTAGAACATGAACTTATAAGGCGATTCAGCTTTGGTTATAATGCTATTCTAAAATAAATGCTACTTTCGGATATAAATCTAAGCAGAAGGTGTCCATAAAAGCAGTGATGTATTTTTACAAACTCACCTTTTTTGTCTGCGATTCCTTACTACCAGAATAATGATCAACACGATGACGCATAGAATTAGGAAACATATTAAGGCAATCACCCACGGTTCCAATCCAGAACTATCTTCCTCTTCTTCCACTTCTTTTGGTGGTACTATTCCATAACCAAGATCTGCTTCTATTTCCTCCTCGTATGTCCGCAGCATCGCTTCGAGTGATTCACTCGTCATCAAGACTTCATGAGAAGCTGAGGGTTTAGTGATGTAGAATCCAACTACAATATTGCCGTCATCAACACAATCGTAGTCAGTATCCGAACAGTCACTCGTTTCATACACAACAACGTCGTTTGCACTTTGATGAATGATAAGAAAGCAATTATTTGACATTATTTGATATTATCAATATTGTTCAATGAAATATGGCAACATTCGTCACATTCATAGATTTCTGTAATTAGTTTGACTAACATTCACTATGTCTGAATTTTCTTTTTATGTTTCTCTTTTGTGGACTAAAATATTGAAACACCCACTGTGGTACAAATGCATGGCATCTCAACCATTCAGACACTGGGGTGACAACTGCAGTGATTATTAAAAAGCGGCAAGCCAATAATGTGAAAACTCTGATGCAGTGGCGTATGCATATTTCATTACTAATCATCATCCGATTGTGTAATACTTACTGAACCATAAGTGGATCCGCTGTCTCACAGTTATCAGGATCTTCAGTGCACCATATATTGGCATATTCAGCCATTACTTTTCGAAATTCATCTTCATCAAACTATAAACAATTGGAATACCACGTGATGAAGGCGAGATTTGAGGAGTATTGCAAAATGGCGTGCTGATTGCAAATTATATGGTCATTATGTCAATAAATTGTAAATAAATACTATAATTTAAGACTTACAATCTCCGTGGCAGTCGTAGATAGCACTGCCTCTAATTCGACTTCAACGCCACCTTCTGCAATCAGATCTTCGGATGGTTCCCTGTACATTAATGTTGTAGCCATTTGTGTGGTAGTTTTTAACGACGTTGTTGGTTGTTTTGTTGTTGTTATTGTTGTTGTTGTTGTTGTTGGTTGTAATGTTGTTGTTACTTCTGCTGTGGTTGTTGTTGTTGGATTTTCTGTTGAACGTGCATCAGTGACATCTCCTGTCGTACTTGTATATTCCACTAATTAGAAAAAGATACATTTGTTATAAAATACATTACGTAACAAGCTAACTTACAGAATGTATCATACGTGCACAATATAAGCTCCCTTTTTCATAACGTGTATCACTGATTGAAAAACAAAGCCGACATTTGAAAGCAGATCGCATTAAAATAACACAATATTATATAAATTACGTCATGGTGGGAAAATATTGGGTCAATGTCATTTGGCACATAAAACAAATAACTTTCGAAAACATCAACATTAAATGAATGATGACAAATGTTTTTAATGTGTTACTCTTGTTACTATAACAACGAAGCACTATTAACCACAATGGCATGTAAAATGGAGTAGGGTGATAACCAGGGAAAATATTTTACATTATTCGGCTATCAACGAACTTTAGTCGAATATCATTTACCCATTTACATGTACAACAATGGACAATGTCACATTGCAGTTGATGTATGCAAGTGGAATAGCTCAGCGAATCACATTGCCATTCACTCATGACAGTTAAGATTATATACAAAGTTCACATCTGGTATTGTATGAGTATGTACGTAATTAGATCGTACTACTATTTGTAGGAACATATCTGAAACTGTATAGTACTCTTGGGGGTCACATTAATTCCAAAGGTTCAATATTCGCAATAAATAAATATAAGAAATTTATGTGACAGATAACACGTAAATGTATGTTTTTGTTATCATGAATAACATAAATAATGAATGTTAAAACCGACTGCTTAAATGGTACTTTTCGATATGTGCTAATATTTGAATGCGATATCTGGACAACAAGTTTGACATATTCGCTAACTAAGCCTTGTTCATTGGTGGTGTGTTTTTCAGTTCGTTTATTTTGAATTTTCGTGAATTTCTTCACATATAAAATTCATTATTATCACTATGTTGTATTCCAAAAGAGGACAAAAACTCAATGGATCTCCATTGTTTAGGGCTCATTATTAACCCTGGATAGGCAATAATGAAATATTTGTGCAACAACTTGTGCAATCATAGTTCTACTGACGAAATGTCCACAAGGGATCGAGGTTTTAGTTTAGTTTAGCTTTCAGGTGCGGCGTGTAATCAATTGAGGATGTATAAATCATGTGACTTGGTATGTCACGTGATTGACATTGCCTAGATAAACATCTGTGAAATGTATCCATTATAAGTAGTCAATTATAATATTTATATTATCAGTGAATCATATGCTATGACTTCTGGGCGTTGTGTTGACCTTCCAACGCGGTTGTTTGATAAAATAAACACAAAAAGTTCTTTGTTACGTGGTGCTGCCCAGTTACACCCCACTCACCTCCCGCAGGTGAAGGTCATGCAGATTGGTATTTACAGTGTGGACAATGATTAATTGTAATTTGTTAAATAGATTGATTTATTTCAAATAGTTGGCAATTCATGGCGATAAACTAAAATATCATATAGTGACCTATCTACGAAACCTGGTTGGATATTCCTTACGTTGTTCCGCATCGTAAAATCAATGTACCATTGTCTGACAATGAACTTTGCACTACTCCTACTGGTTGCTATCCCCACTAATTGAACATACATTGACATATGACGAACTTTCGTCATCTGTCGTGATGTGAATATTGTGATAATGTGAATTATGTTTGTTGATTTTAAAACTCTCAGGGTAGTAAATATTTACAGATGTCTGTGTAGTGGATTAGGTCTTTAATTCCACACCGCAGGTACAATCGGCGGATATATTCATTAAAAAAAGCTAATCCAACATGGTTCTTGAGAGGAGGGGAATATTTTAAATGTGTAAGGACAGGGCACACTTGTTGCAAATCAGATGAGGCATTAAATGACATTAACATAATTATGAAAAAATGTAAAAAACAATAAACAAAAAAATAGTGTTTAAGTTTAGAAACCCCCGCATACGTGTTGTTCAATTGCCAAACAACGTTTTCATAATACCAAAAACGAACCTAGACTGCAAAGAGTTGTATACTTTGTAGAAGTGACATTCGAACTGTCTGAGAAGTGGGAGGGCCATATACTTGAGGAATAGGTTTAGGATTCAATCGAAGTATATATACTAGGTCGACTTTGGTACGTCGAAAAAAAAACTATCAACAAACAAACAAACTGCTCTCTGATTGGTCTGACTGACTGATTGGTCTGCGCCATTTTACTGAAGGTCGCATTGTATTATAAAACACGGACAGTTACTCTTCGATCACAGTTGAACTTCTATGAACGCAAGTCTTCGATTTGTTTCATAATTATATTGCGGTTTATTCGTGCTAACATTCTTATGTATTTATTTTCATGTAAGGGTCAAAGCGTTGATAATGCATGGGTGACAATAGTGTTATATTTTCAGGCAGACTGTCAGGCAGTTAAAGTGTGGCATGTTTGAGGTGGGTTCCACGCAAACTAACGAATGTGGCTGTGTAAATGTGTGCGAAAAGTCTGCGAGTAAATCTTCGTGCAAACAAAGTTTCTCAACTGTGAGGCAAATTACAGTTTCTGGTTTTAGCCTTTTTTACCCGGCAGAAATAATGGTCGATTCCTAATTACGTAAATGTGTGTGCCCGTGTAAGTGTAAACGAATCTATATTTACTGTGATAGACTTTCTAATCAATTTCTGAAATGAACACCTGTTGAGTTGGAAATAAACATGGCAGCCTTTGGGCTGTCCTGGAATGTGTGTACTTATATGCCACGCATAGCTCATTAACTTACAACAAAAACGTTAAACAAACTCACAAGTACTGAAAATAGTTTCACGAACATAAGTATATTTTTGATTGAATTCGGACTATGTTAAACAACAGATTCGTTTACACACAACGCCCCTCAGTTGTGTGTCTGTTATACATATCTATACTGCACGAAATGTATCACAAAAAAGACATGTACCTAAACTGAGACATTTAGTGTAATCTACAGGTCTATAAAACGATAAATATTTTGTTATCAGGCGTTACCCGCGTAAAAAAACGGAGATTTTTTTTTTCATGAACAGCATATTTGCTGTTATTGCAAATAAAATCATTGTTTTATTCATTACTTCCGTGTAGTGCTTAGTAGTTCAGGATTCTTGCATTCACTTCTTGGTATCAGCGTATCCTGAAACTTTTTCAAACTCAGGGACGAATTCCAGCACGACCGGGTAACATAAGTAGATAAGCGTTGACGGTTTATTTTATGATGGACGCGCACCCCCTTGTTACCAGTAAACGCCTGTCTACCTGCTTTCAAATAATTAATTCGAGATGTTGAGACAATAATTGTTTGGGATTTCCTTTTTCATAAATTTACATGTGTAATATGTGTTGATCTAATAACTTCTAACTACTACGCATTTCCCATAAAAATGGCCGTCGTTTACTTATTATCAATGATTAACTAACCCAGTATAAGCGCATGATTTTTATATAGCGTGTTTTACTCGTGTATGTTACGCGATCAATTTCATATCTTGGTATAAAACACTGCTTTGTACGTACAGCAGTGTGTTTAGAACCCTGAATAAACAACATAATCCTTGTATTTGTTGACTACGATGTGTATTAGTTCTACCTCCCCGTCTCCTTAAAACTCCCACACCCGTGCGTGCACCGACAATGGGAACCTTGTCCGGCAGTGACCTGTACAGGTTAAACCAATTTCGGAATTGGTACGCGTTTCAATTAAACCTGTGTAGACACAAGAGTAGTTTATACTATATTGAAATAATATATTTCACCTGTGGATGTCGCTGTTTGTCCCTGGCAGCGGAGTAATCCTGCGGTCAGAAGGACTACCGTTAACAGTAGTCGCCAAATCATCGTGTTCTTGCAAATTATCGCCAGTTAACTCGTACAAACTTGAGTCAGTTGCTCCTGGTATTCACTTGTTGGTGGGTACAGAACCCTCGTTCGTTTCACACCCGATGTATGGCTTTAACTGGCTGTTTGACTGGATGTAATACGGTACGGCGTTGTACGGTCCATCGGTGTGTGGCAAGGGCGGGGCTCACAATCTGGGTGGCAACCTGACTTTAGATTATAACTTAAGATTACACATTATCGAAAATTGATTTCTGACAAGCCGAGGCATCGACTATTTTTACGAGGGGAGGAATCGTACATACATCCATCGACATCGTGTTTTTTAGGAATTCAGTGGACGTGCGTGTTGTTTTACGCATTTCACCAAATTCAATTATTACCGTGCACACGAACAGTGTGTTGGAGCCGACGTGTACCGACTCAAATGTAGCCCGGTCCCTTCAAATTGAAATGAGCATACCTATTTTTCATTGATTCACATACAGTCAGTGTCCGCCACGGATGGCGCAGACTGTTAGCGGGAACATTCCATTATGTGTATAAGGGGGTTTTGTTTTAGTCGCGATCAGACGTAAGAGGTCGGCTTTAGATATTGTTTTCATGAATTCGTGTTTCTATAGATACAAACAACACAGCTGCTGAAATTAAAATTAGTTTTTACTTAGTTAAGTTTAGTTTACTATGGTTGCAATATCTTGACAGGTCAGTTTAACGATACTCACTTATCTCTACTCTATACAGAGCGCCGCATCCATTGACCTTTGGTGAACATATATTATGATTTTCAAACTATTTAAAAATATTTAACTATATAAGTGGTCAATTATATTGAGTTGTGGAGCGGAGGGTCGACGCTCACGGCATGTTAATGTAAAAAACAAACAAAAACAAAAACAAACAAAAACATTGTCAATGACTTAATCTGTTTATTGGTGTTACAATCAATTAAGTGATTATGATCTAATTAATATGCTTTATACCAAAAAAAAACAAAAAAAACACACATACCCAAGCATTGCAATTACAAATGAAAATGATATAAATCAAACCTAAATTAAATTAAATACATTGGAAAGTGTCGCAAGCCGATTTCCATGGTTTTAATATAGTGATCACTAACTAATACACTCGTTCTGGTTTCAATAAAAACAAATTTTAGATGTGTGTATATTTGTGGCGGATATTTCAAATTTGGACTAGTAGAAACCGAACTTTGTGTAATCCAATTAATATGCATATATATATATATATATATATATATATAGTCGCGCATTTAATTTGACCGATCCGTAATGGTAATAGTAACTGTGGATTAACGGAGGT